CCCCCCACAGTGCCCTGGTCAGTGGTCAGTCCCCTCCTTGTCCGCCGACACCCAGAGAGAGGTGGTTTCCCCGTGGACAGTCCCCCACCATCCATTCCCCGCCCACCTCCCTACTTTTGTACACAACTACCACCATTATACTATTGGTTGTCCATTAAGCCGACATCATGTCTTATCACCAGAGATCAATTATTCTGTATCGTGCTATACTCCTCTCTTTGTTCTCACTTGTTTTCGTTACTATGTTTTTCTTCTCTGTTTCTCTCACTTGTTATCTCTCATGTGTTATTCTCCTCACTTTTCTGCTCACTTGTTATCGTTACCGTGTTATGTTACTCTTTTTTTTCTCACTTGTTATTGGTTTTGCGTTATTCTTCTCTGTTTCTCTCACTTGTTATCTTCCCCTTGCTCTTCTTGTCTGTCTCTCTCATGTGTAATCTTCTTCATGCTATTCTCCTCTCTTTTTACTCACTTGTTATCGTTATCGTGCTCTCCTCCTCTGTTTCTCTCAGTTGTTGTCTTTCCCTTGTTATTCTCCTCTTTTTTTCTCACAAGTTATTTATATCCAGTTATTCTCTTCTGTTTCTCTCACTTGTTATCTTTCTCAATCTATTCTCCTCTCTTTTTCTCACTTGTTATCGTTATCGTGCTCTCCTCCTCTGTTTCCCTCACTTGTTATCTGGACCGTGTTATTCTCCTCTCTTTTTTACCACCTGTGATCGTTGCCTTGTTGTTCCTCTCTGTTTTTCTTACTTGTTATCTTTCCCTTGTTATTCTCCTTTGTTTCTCTATCATTTGTTATCTTTCTTGTGCTATTCTCCTCTGTTTCTCTCACTTGTTATCTCTCACGTGTTATTCTCCCCTCTTTTCTGCTCACTTGTTATCTCTCCCCTGTTATTTTCCTCTGTTTCACTCATTTGTTATCTTTCTTGTGCTATTCTCCTCTGTTTCTCTCACTTGTTATCTCTCACGTGTTATTCTCCCCTCTGTTCTGCTCACTTGTTATCGTTACTGTGTTATGTTACTCTTTTTTTTCCCTCACTTGTTATTGGTTTAGCGTTATTTTTCTCTGTTTCTCTCACTTGTTATCTTCCCCTTGCTCTTCTTGTCTGTCTCTCTCATGTGTAATCTTCCTCATGCTATTCTCCTCTCTTTTTTACCACCTGTGATCGTTGCCTTGTTGTTCCCCTCTGTTTTTCTTACTTGTTATCTTTACCGTGTTGATCTCCTCTTTTTCTCTCACTTTTTTCATCGTTGCTATGCTATTTTCGTCAGTTTTTATCACGTATTATATTGCATATTGATGTATGTATTTGTACATGTATTTATGTGTGTATACATTTGTGTATGTGTGTCTTTTTATAATTATGTATTTGTGTATGTGTGTATTATGTACGTTTTCCATTGTAAACCAAATTGCCCTTCTGGGATCAATAAAAGTTATGAATTTTGTTATATGTTTTTTAATTTCTCGTCTCTTTTTTTCATTTGTTATCTGTACCATGCTATTCTCTTCTGTCTCCCTCAGTCAGTTACTCCGACCAGGATGTCGTGTTCACCTGGATGAACGCCTCAGAACCGTTTGTGACTGGCGGGGAGCTGGAGGCGATGCCCGTCAAGTTAGCTGACGAGGTGGTTCTGCCTCAGTTTGAGGTGAAGGGGGTGGAGCCTACGTACTGTAACATACAGTACCACCAGAAGATGGGTGAGTACAGAGAGAGGGAGAGAGAGAGAGATGGAGAGAGAGAGAGAGAGAGAGAGAGAGAGAGGGAGGGGAGACAGACAAACAGACAGACAGACAGACAGACACACCCCTGTCCCTGACTGACAAGCAGACAGACAATACACACAGACAGACAGACAAACAGACATGTATGAGCTTTGCGTATCAGAAGTGCACACTTGACATACGTACAAAAGTTATTTGACCTCTGCTGAAAAGGGTATGCTTTTAACGTCCCTATCAACACTGCTAGATTATTTAAGAGGCGGGACCTCCGAGTTGAACGTCCGTCTTAGATAGGACTGGGCCAATTTCGCTAAAAGCCTTGAAAAACCCCCCACAAAACTATCCGATTTCCAAAACTTCCAGTCTTAGATTCGAAACAGGGTCATTTATTCCTTTTGTTGTTTTAGTAAGGTTTTACGGCGCTCGGAACTGCATAAGGTAATATGAGCGCGAAGAGGTAGATGTCAACAGAGAAGTCCAAACGGGGAATAAGGCTTACTCTGCTCACCTCTCCATCCTCAACAGCATAAAATCTGCTTCGACTATCAAGGCACCTCGGAAATAGCAGTTCACAAGAGAGTGCCAAAAATGCAGAACAAGTAGAGGAAAAATGACGATAGTAAGGATGAGGAAAGAAAAAGCATCAGTTCCCCCTATACAATTCTACTTGCCACACGAACATGTTAAAATCCCTTTTTGGGAAAGGCTTAATGAGAGTTCAGTCCGTAGCACTGCC